TCTGTATCTAATTAGCAACATTTAATTGACAATGCTAACATGGAAAATTGATAATTAATGAAAGAGGCTTGCACTCTTTTGCCATAGTTTACAACAGTACCACAGAAAAATAAGATGATACTACAAACAATTTAATTCTATTCTTTTTGACCTTGAGTTGTACAGCTCATCGGAATCCACAACTCCCAGGGTTTGTGATTGGATAATTTTAATTTTATCCACAGAGTTGTGTGTTAAAGACCCGGGGATATAAAACACACAAACCATAGGAGATTTTTTTATCATCTTTTTTAACCTAATTTTATGGGTTTAATCCGTTTCTGCTTTCCTGTTGGCCGTCGCTCCGTGATCAGAAGGTCGTGTGTTCGAATCACAGACTGACCCAAGTCGATAAAAAATAGGTAGCAACTGTTCCTTCACCAAGCGCTCGGCACTTTGAAATGAAAGTTGCGGGTTTTTCGGATGAGACCTTTAAAAACCAAGGCCCCATGTCACGGTAGGCGTTGGCACGATAAAGAACCATCACTGCTCAATGGCCCCAAGTGCCGAGTAAAGGTCTAAATTTGAAGCCCTTCATTGGTATATCGTGACGTCTCTAGTAGTAAAAAATTCTCAATCAATCAATCTTGTTGGCCGTTTTACGCTGCGTTACAACGTCAACAATATTACGCCACTAAAAATAGTGCGTAACAAAAGAAAGGAAAAACACCTTTTAAAAAGAAAATCTGTTGTTTCAGTTATTATATTAATAAAAGTATTCGGAATTACACCTCCATCTTCCATTTTTACTCATGAATACAAAATTCAATGCACCTATAAGATATCAAAAGGCGTCAGAATACAAAGTGTGGGATATGAAAAAAAATCCAATGAACGATATCCCCGGGATAAAGAGATAAAAGTGATAAATATTTGTTAAGTACTGGGTGAGTGGATAGAAAACAAAATTACACTTTAAGTTATGCAAATTATTACAGAAATATACAGACAGTAGTAGCATCATAACTAAACTTCTTTATTTACAGCTTGTAATAAAATAGATCTACGATATTGAGTTCTTTTGTATTTTCAACAGTGAGGATCTTAACTTTTTTTAAGACACTATGTTTTGTATAATAAAATTCTAAATCTATTCATTTCTCAATTCAAAATGAACATTTTTAAGATAAAATGAAACTCGTTTTCTATATCATTTTGATCACACTGCTGATGCTCGAAGATACTTTTTCTTATTATTCATTTTTTTAAAACGTTTTCTTTATTTCTAGGGTTTCGGATTTTAAACGAGGCAGGTCTGACCGGTCGATAGGGGATGTTTACTCCTCCATGGTACCTGATTCCACCTGCGATGATTTTAGAGGTCCGTGTTTGCTCTGCTCCCAATTTGGATTGTTTTAATGGACTTTTGAGCTTGATTACTGTTCGTTATCTCCATATTTCATTCTTAGATATCATTATCAATGTTTTTGACCATGTTGGAGTGTGTGAAATAACAAAGTCCAATAAATACTGGATGCATTAAGTGCACGACTTACGACTGTAGTCTTTCAGTGGGTGGGTAATCCAATCGAATATACGGCTCACTAATTGATCTTCATTGTGGATGCAAGTCAGGTGACCATCTTTGCGCGCGTACTACTGCAGTAGAAACTCATTTGTTACAAAAGAAGAGAAAGCTAATGTTTTTTTTTTCTCATTATTTTTTTAAACCACGATCGTGATAATATTGACATAAGATAAATGCAAATAGTATAAATATCATTTGGCGTATACTGTCGTAGACTTTGCATTGCAATTGTACACTATCGATACAATATATTGTACCCAAATATACAGACAGAACACCACACAGTCCGAAAATTCTGTCGGAAGGTGTGTGAGGGTGTGTGTGTGTGTGTGTGTGCGTGTGTTATTCATTGATGCACAAATTTTGGGTTGGTTAAATAATTTTATGTTTTCCCATGTTGATGTACAATTTTAGCAATCATGCATAGTGTCATCGTTTTTTGACTTAAGCAGTCGGTGGTCGATCTACATGCCACAAATAAAGATTATTAAAATGCATTTTTCAAAATTCAGAAAAAAACAAGTACTAATTCATATATATATATATATATATATATATATATATATATATATATATATATATATATATATATATATATATATATATATTCGGTTGATTCCCGTAGGAAGGGGAAGGAGGGGGGGGGGGTTAAATCTGCCACTTGCGTCAGGATTCATAAATTTGAAATTACGCAGAGAGTTATAGTCAATGATTTTATAAAAAAAAAAATAATGTAACAAAAATATTGAAAGAAAAAGGAAGAATATGCTTAAACCCTTGGTTTTTCTCCTTGAACCATTTATTCTTGTGAAGTGTCAAAAGAAAAAAAAATTCACGACCAAATGTCCGTAAAAAAAAATGACTATATATCACCAACAAAAGACAGAGAATTTTCAGTTTTGACATTTTACTTTATAATTAGTTGACATTCAAACGTCGAGTACACGAATTTGTACATCGTAGTATGAATATGCATAAATACAAAATGGATTACCTAGTATGGAAATGCAGAACATACCAAAATCTTAAATTACAGAAGTCCATCATTCATATCCTAATGATACAAACTTTCTTGTGAAGCAACTTGATTATCTGAAAATATTGTTTTACCAGTAGCAGGACACGAAGATTTATCCCCATGCATTATTTATAGATTAATGAAAACTTGAGTGGTGATGACGCATTCATTTTTTTCGGACAGAAGGAACAGTTTTAGTCGAACGGAAATATTTAGTAAAGTCGTCATTTTTTGATAACCCACATTATTCTATTACACTGGACAAATGCTACCTATAAATGCATCCCTGACCATTGATACATACAAGTATTCATATCATCTGCTCGTTCTTTTTTTATCATTTAAAATTGTTCATGGTTCCGACAGTTCGATGTATTTCTCGGAATTCTACATTTTTAATACACCTTTAACTCGATTAATGACTGTTCTTAATGAATGCCTCATTAAATGTAACAATCATAGACGGCGGGAGATGACACGATCATCCAATGAAGGCCTTTGGAAGCTGCATATAACACTTTTAACTCCAATTGATAATTTCCGGGACTTTGCAGCAACAACAGAATATGGCTGTCGGCTATGAAGAACTGTTCGCGTGTTTCTGAATTACGCCCCATGAACATTTTGATCCACCAGATTGTCTTTGACTTTGATTGTCGGTATTAGTCGGGTAACTCTACCTGAAGGCATTACTCTGCATTAAACAAAAAACTCATTACCACTTCAAAGGTATTTTACAATAAAAGGTTGTATATGATGAGGATGGTTAAATCTGTAACAATCACTCGTGGCTACACTAATTCTTAAACAAGCTTGCCTTGGGTTTAATGCATAAATTAGATCCGTATACTAGTACTTGTAGACTCATTCAAAGATTCATCGACTCAGAGTAATATGGACGGAGACATGAAACCTTGCGTTTAGAGACACTGATTCTCATATTAGAATAATTGTATAGAATTACAACTTCTTCCCATCAATCACCAAAGCATCTTTTGTTGGTGAAGTTTTTGATTCATGAATGTGTAAATTTTTCTTCAAAATTAGCATTTCCTTCGGTATAATGAATACTCATATATTGCAAGGAAAAAACACCACCTTATTAATTCGGCTCTTCTCCAATAATTTTAAAAACTTGATATTGAGTGCGCTTTGCATGTTTCTAGGATGGGTAAAAGAATGTTTTATATTTATGACTATGCAAATCAAATATTTCTCGCAAAATTCATTCATTCAAAAGTGATGTATTCGCAAGTCTATAAATATAATATAAAATATAAATAATATGATTTATAAGATGTCGAAATAACAATAAAAGATGATGACAATAAACTGAATAAAAATTATAATTTAGACTTTTCAACCGAAATATTAATCAAGAACAAGCGCTTCTTTCTTGTTGGAAAATTGAAATTTTTGCCTCTTTATTTTGGGTTCCTTCAAATTGTTGTTTCGCAGATGCATCAACTAAGACCTCTACTTTTGAATAAAATGAGAATGAATTATTGGAATTTTATCAAAAAAAGATTATCATGCGTCATAAACCAGATAAGTACCTCAAGATAACATTTTGAAGTGAGCTAGGTATACTGCAAACACTTTTCGCATATTAAATTTACATCCAATATAAATTCGAGAAGTACTTGCCTACTGTGACCACCCATAAAGATTATTTCTGTTTTATTTCTTAACAAATACCTATAGCCATCAACAAGGTCAGGATCGCAAAATCTTGGAATCTTTGGGATTTTCAGCTGTTCTCTTAATACAAAGTAGCTTGCGAAAAAAGACGAACTTAAAAAGAAATGCTATCGACACATTTTATTATTGCCAGACATCTATCTGCACATGACTTACGAAAGATTCTTTTAAGACTTTAAGTGCGTGAAAAGCATATAGTGAATGTAACGAGCACTTTGACTGATTTAACAGTTAAAAATATCGGTATTTTTTTTTTATTTTTTCAATTAATGAAATACGGCAATGCAGTGGCCCAGATTCAAATTTAAGGGCAGTAATTTGTAATACGCTGTAATTTGTCTCCTGTGTTCTGGAGAACTTCGAGAGGTCGGATAGACTAATAAAACGACGCACATTAAATGACAGTTGATCTTTATGACTTCAATCCTATCGCATCTGTGCCACTTGATATAGAGAAAGTGGTTATAATTCCTTAGAGCAAATTGCGGAAGGGTTGGACAAAAAAGTGGTCATATCTCAGATAAAACGAATGAAACCCTTTTGTGACATATAAATGCAATCTGTGGTTAAGAAAAAGAAAACTATACATTTTAAAAACTACATATTTAAGTACTTCCAAAATAAATTATATAGATGTGCATTTCTTGTATAAGAAATATAACATCAGTGTAATTTTTTTTATGAGCTGCATAAATAAAAGCCTTAATAGCCTACCTTTCTATGGAGATGGCGACAAGCGTGAGGACACTGGTAAAGACAAAAACAGGTTGAAAATACGACATAAATGAACAGAATCCGTCACTCCGGAATATGTTCCAGCGACACGGGGCCGTAAACTCCAGCAATTTCAGTGGAGTTACGATCGCAGAAACCAGCAAGTCAGATACTGCCAAGTTCACAATGTAATAATTGGTCACTGTGTGCATATGGTTATTTTTCCAAACCGTCCAAATCACTAACATGTTTCCACAGATTGCTAGGACAATGACAACGACGTAAATGACGATGATAGTTGCCAAAACTGCAGGGATTTGGGTCAAATCCTTATAGTAATGGTCTGGAAATGGACAGCCGTATTCGTCGTATTCATTTTGGTTCAATGAGCTAGAAACATTCTCTTCAGAGTTATTGAAGAAATAAGAAAAATTCACGTTTTTGTAAGATAGCAATTTTTCGGCCACTTGCATAGAAAACTTTTCTTCTTGAGTCATTTTAGTCTTTTTGTAATAATTTTACGATATCAGTGTAATGAATATAATTTCACTAACTTAAAAACTACTTAGGTTCCTTGGCGCAGTCAAAGAGCATTCTATAATACAGAACAAAAAGCAAACAGGGGATTAATAAATCACTTTTAAGCATTTTTCGAAGTGAACGATACGTTAGCTCAGTGGAATATTAGGTGGTCGATAGTTAGCGATTCACCTGCAAACTGGAATAAGATCTCTATACGCTGATCATTTATATGGTAGTTCAGTGTACATGTGCGCGCAGTCACATCACGGATTGGAGTTCTTCTTATTAAATATCCGACCTGATTAATTGTAATTTAGCTTGAGTACACCTTATGGCTCTCTGATGTTAGAGGTATCTATTTGTAATAGTTTAAAAAATCGACTTGAGAAGAGTGTGTTGCAAAGGCACGCTACACCTATCCAAGAAAATTCAATTTCCAAGAGGTTGGAAACAGATTTTTATGATTCATAATGAAAAGAACCAGAGAGAAGAAACAAATCCTTTATCGTATCCCCGATCCTTGTGTGCCCTTCCATCACCATGCATTGAATATTTCTTGATGAATCTGGAATTAAAAAAATTACTTAACTATTTTTAAATGTTGACGGCATCTAAGATATTAGACATATTTTTACTATAAACCGCTAAAAAAAAAGAAAAAAAAAGAAAAGAAAAAAAACTAGCTTCCTAATTAAAAAAAAATAAAGATTTCAACATCTCATTACCCAGTGACCTTCACCTTTGATACATGTCCTTGAGTCAGATCACGACGCACCTGTGAATAGCATGGCCGTAGGAACCGGGGGGGGGGGGAGCACAGGGGGGGGGCGTGTCCCCCCCCAATAATTTTGCCGATATATCGATTACAATAAAAAACAGAGCTACTATATTCTTGTGCCCCCTCAATAAAAACGTCTGATGACCTTTTTTTTTTTTTTTTGCTTGTCAAGGAATTTTTTGGTTGTGCCCCCCCCCCCCCCAAACCGAAATTGCTTCCTACGGGCCTGAATAGTACGCGGCTATGTATTCAAGTCTAAATTCATTTCAGTAATGAGCTATAGACTTATTTTAAAATTTTCAGTGAACTTTAAGAAGATACCTTGAGTGAAGATCATGGAAAATTTTGTGTGATGGATAACTATTATTCTAGTCATGGACTATAATGTTATAGCGCAGTGGTACAGACAGAATTGATAACGGACAACCGTAGCAAGACCAGTACATACAGCACTATAACAAAAGTATTTGTGATTTTTTCAAAATGGCGGACGTCAACAATGATGCGTCTCAAGTGTACAAACATAAAATATTATAACAATTTTTTATTTTAACTTACTGTATATTTGGTGATATCAAGGTCATCGCAGCCATTGAACTAAAACGTGTCCGCCCCATACCTCTTACTCAGAACAAACCATACACATACTCAGAACAATTGTTCTTGTTAAGATTGTATGTTTTTTTTCTTTTTTACTTTGACTGAGGGCTGTATGTTAAAGGTTGAGGATATTTTTACCTGCTGATGTGAAAATTCTTGTCTGACACATTTCTTTAGCGCTAAAAGAGAGGACTTGAAACTTTTCACAATTACCCTGTTTTATCTTATCGTATAAGACAATTTTTAAAGCAAATTATTCCAGGCTTGAAAAGATAAAAAAGTATATTTTTTGTATTTGTGCCTGTCATCTGAAGTTGATGAGTTTTAATTGGCTCATATGTCCATCTTTTGCAAACCATATACTATATGTAATAGATTGAGTTGTGAACTTGGTCTTACTTAAGAATAAAATGCATTTTACCTTATTTAAAATATAAGGAATTTTAAATATTAAAAAAGTATATCCATTTTAGAAAAAATTTAAATAACTCATTCATCAATTTAATCCCCACAATTATAATCATTTTTTTATGATTTGTATAACCTCAGTTGAGTCTAAGCCATACTTTCAAACTTCTGGATGAGAGGTCATGACCTCCCCTGGAATTACGCAGACCGAGTAGTGAAATATATATATGAAATTCCAAATACTACTTTCTTGCAAAGTGACTGATGTAGCTCGTGCATTTTCATCATAATCATTAGAATAGAATCTCAACCAAATTGTTTCAGGAAATTGCTATGTCGATTAATTCCAACGATATACTAGAAACTCAGAATCATTTTTTCTCGTTTCAATTATTTTTCCTCGTTGGTGCCCAATAAAACGAAGAAGTACGCTATATTACACTGGTGTCATTTCTTCTTTACTTCAATAAACTAGTACTAACTACGTGTGCTGTGACATTTACCGCATCGATCCGCATTTACTGAAGGAGGCTCTCTTTAATATATAAAGAGGGAGAGTTACAAATCTATATTAAATTGTGATGCATTTGAAACAAGTGGGTGCTATTCCAGATGCATTAAATATGAAAGAAAACATGTTGGTGGATAAAATTGTCTGTGTTGTACGCTTTATTTGAAATTCGTATAGTCTCTGATATATTTCGAACACGAATTTCATGTAAAATAAATACCTATATTCATCTAAAGTTAATGAGTTTTCCCTAATCTCTATGCATTTGATATACCTCGAATGTATATCTTTGAACTTCTATTAAGCTACATATAATAATCCAGAGTAGAGTTTTCATTAAGATGGATAATCGTGGAAGCCAAAATCAATATATCTAAGAATTACCATTACAAGAATTTACTAGTAGTTTATGTCCCATCAGTATAGGTATATAGGGCGTACCTGAGCTTGAAAGCTTAAAAGATTGATACGAAATTGAGTGTAGGTATATGTTATGCATGTTAAAATTAAATTTTTCACCGAGTCTGAACTCAGAGGTATCTTACTCCGAATTACATGGAGTACCCCCTTTCCCAAAACGCAGTCATTCACACTTTCAGAGAAAATGCACTGGTAAATTGTTTATCACCATTCTCTTCTACGATATTTTATCTACACAACCATATATGACATGCTTGTCTTTATTTATATTTTTTGTTATCTCCGTAAACAGCATCAGAACTCTGTTCGCCGACTGGAAAATTCGATTCGCACTATGAAGTGGTATATACTAATCCCTGGCGGAATATGTTCTTGGATTTTGATTGGTTAAAATCTGTTTCTAAATTTACATCAGTAAAATATTGTAATGTTTTTTCTATGAAAAATAAACAAATTTTATATACTCACTGCCCCTGGGTCAGAGATTTTTATACCCCCCGCAAACGAAATTTAGGGGGAGCATATAGAAATCACCTTGTCCAACTGTCCACCATTCCGTCTGTCAGTGCAATCTTGTCAGTACTAACACTTTGTAATGGAGAATCATCAGAATCTTATACTTGATACAAAGATCGCTTATCACAGAGGGTGTGTCTTCAGGACCCAAAGTCATTTGGGCAAGGTCATTGTCACCGACAAAAAATAATAAAATTCTTGTTCGGGGTATGACTTTGTAAAAGAGAAGCATTATAAGCTCATGCTTGGTACAGAGATTGTTATGACAAAAAAATTTGCCATGGCCTTCAATCAAGGTCATTCTGGCAAGTTCAAGGTCACTGACAGAAAAAAGTATAGAATTCTTGTTGGGGCTATGATTTTGTAATGGAGAACCATTGGAAGCTATTACTTGGTACAAAAATTGTTTATGACCTGAGAGTGTGTCGTGACCTTGAACACAAAATCATTTAGGCAACGTTAAGGTCACTAACAGAAAAAGCATAAAATTATTGTTGGGGCTATAACTTTGTAATGAAGAAAGATTGGAAGTTCATACTTTGACTAGAAGATTTGTCCTGACCTTAACCCAAGGTCTTTCTCCGCGTTCAGGGTCCCTGTCAGAAAAAGTATAAAATTCTTGCGGGGGCTATAACTATATAAAGGAGAATCATTGGAAGCTCATACTTGGTACAAAAATTGTTTATCATCTGAGGGTTTGCCAAGACCTTAAACAAAGATTATTCAGGCAAGTTAGGTAGATAATTCTTGTCTTGGCTATAACTGTAATGAAGAATTCTTGGAAGTTCCTACTTGGTACAAAGACTGGCCTTCGTTCTAGGAAGTTCAAGGTCACTGACAGAAAAAATAAAATTCTTGTCCATACTATATCTTTGTAATGGAAAATCTTTGGAAGTTCATGCTTGGTACAAAGATTGTTTATATCTTGGGGTGTGACCTTGACTCAAGGTCATTCTGGCACGTTTTAGGTCACTGGTTTTGAAAGTGTGAAATTCATAGCAGTTCTACCTGTAACAGAGTCTCAACTAATTTTTTATTTGTCTAAACTATTTTTTATTCAAATATCATCTTTTCAAGGTTTGATTATTAAAGGCTCATTCTTCAACATACAAAAAACTGTCCTGAAGCACAAAATTGAAATGATAAAATTTCACTTTTCAAATTTGAGCAGAATGTAGCTGAATTGGTAAACAAATTTTACTGAAATTCCAGATCGAGAGGTTTTTACTGAAAATATTTTTAAAATTTTCTATCGTCTTACCTGCATTGTTGCAATATCATACATATGGTGTATAATTTTGTAATGGAGAAACATTAGAACTGAAAGATTACTTATGAACAGAGAATGTTATTTTTAGTAAGCCTTTTTGACAAGTTGAAAGTCTTTTTGGCAAGTTGAAAATCACATTTACAAAATTTGATTGGGCTCTTTAAAAAATGCAGCAGGGCATAATTTTGTGAGCTAACTGACAGTACTTCCAGCTGGTTAGGATGGGGCTGTATTGGATTTATTGTGAAAATGCATTATTTTTTGAAAATCTTCTGCTCTGCTCCTGGGCAAACAGAGATCAAAGTTGTTAAAAGCAAGGGTATTTTTACCAAATTTTACCAATTCCTGACCACTTGGTCAAGTATTCTAGTGCTAGGCAGGGCAATTTCAATATATATATTTTTTTTCTGAGAGAAGTTATTTCCCTTTGATATTCAACTATAATAATAAATAACTGTAAATAATGTCATTGAACGGTCAATTGAATAAGAGAATTCTATGAGTATTTTCATAAATGTAAATATATAAACCAAGAGACTCGTACTTTCATTGCTTTAATGGTCACGTATACTCTTAAATAATAGAAAAATAAATATGGGACAAAAATGCCTTATCTTCGTGTGCATTAAATGTTCTTCAAA